TGAAAAAAACTCAAGTCTTATGGACAGAAGGAAGACTGGGAATGCAGTTCAGTGCCTATAGGGTTTGGTGAGATGATCCTTGTGCTCATCAGAACTATTGCTCAACCATCCTTCTCTCGATATTTGAGCTTGTTTGCAGAATGCACAAGGTGATTAGTTCACATTTTTAATAAATCAGATCCCTTTACAAGTTGCAGCTTAGAGCAACTGATGAGGGAAAATAAACTGGCCATCTTCAGGCTTGAGATCCTTCTTACTGACAAGCAAAAACAGCTCCTTTCCTTCCAGAGGTCCAATGGCTTCTGACCTGAACATTCATACCTTGAAACCATTCAGCAACTCGGGAGTCAATCACATTGTTGTAGGCAGGCAGGAGGCCTTTGTCATCATTAAATCATCAACATTTCACAGGCTAATCAGCTACTTGTGTTGAACAAATCTCCATTTACATACTGGTCCCTTATTCAGGCTTATTTGTAACTTGGCTTTTCCCACTGCTTGAACCAACAGCTATGTAAATGGAGCTTACAAAGAGTGTCAACTAACTTGTTTTTAAAAGCGAGAAGTGATCCTTTACCAATCCTTGTCTTTTAAAACAGTTCTTTACTCATTTCAGTCCACCATCAAAAATACATTTAAAGAAAAGGTCTTTATATTCTTGAATTTGGAGTTTAAAATACAAGCAGATGGATGTGGGTCAGTTTTGTGAAGGTTTTTCTTTTAAAACAAGGTAAAGTCATTAGAAACACTGCCCTTATAGCATGAATTCCAAGAAAGCACATTACTGCGATCAATTGTTCAGGTGGTGTTAATGGACACAATATTGAGATTGCTCTTAGTTTTCGTTTTGACTCCAGAAGGTTCAGGATCTCAGAAGAACCAGAAGTTTAGCTCAGAGATAGTAAGAACTGCTGATGCTGGAGCCTGAGATAACATAGTATGGAGATGGAGGAATACAACAGGCCAGGTAGCATCAGAGGAGCAGGAAAGCTGACGTTTTGGGTCGGGACCCTTCTTCAGAAATGGGAGAGGGGAAGGGGGCTCTGAAATAAATAGAGAGGGGGGCAGTGACAGCAGGTCGATAGTGGAGCGGATAGGGTGGGAGAGAAGACGGACAGGTCAAGGAGGTGGGGACGAAGCTAGTAAAGGTGAGTGTAGCTAGTTAATGGTGGGGATTGGTCAGTGACGTGGGAGGAGTGGATACGTGGGAGAGAAGACGGACAGGTCAACGAGGCGGGGATAAGGGGTGGGGCTGCTCTTGGGATAAGGTCGGGGGTGGGGAGATTTTGAAGCTAGTAAAGTCCCCATTGAGACCATTGGGTTATCGGCTTCCAAGGTGGAATATGAGGTGCTGTTTAGCTCAGAAGGGTAAAACATTTCTCATCGGAAGAATCAAGCTTTTTGTTCAGGCAGCAAGTCCCACTAACCAAAGAGTTGTAAGTTGCAGAGCTTCCAAGCCAAGGGAATTTGGGTAAAAATCTTCAAGGTTTTTGAACTGAAAATGCCTCAACCATCTGAACTCTGGAAGGTTCATGTCAGCAAGCTTAGAGGAACTGTAAACCTCTCTCCGGCGTCCAAGGAAAAGAAACCAAGAGAATTCAGTTATGTAAAAACTTGAAAAGTTGATTTAGTGTTGTGAAATATGTAGAAACTTGCTTTTTTTGTGTAACAAGCTGGGGTTCTATTGTTAAAATTGCCAATATCATATATGTTTTTGTGACTAATCGCCATGTTATCCAATTTGCAAAACTTAAGCACATGATCTATCAAGCCGGATTTCATTTTGTGTTCTGACATGAACAGTAATACTATTAGCTGGGATCAGAATAGTTGTACTTAACAATTTTGCCCACAGGAGAAAAAGCTCTCAAAAAAAAAATCAGTTGTAGACTTCCACCCATGATGTAACAATTTTATTTTAAGAAAAGGAAACACATTCAGGCAGAGCATGTTAACTTGAAATAATGCTGATGATGTAATAGAACCTTGGGTTACAGGGATCACTAATGCCTGAAAACCTGGTAACATGAGCGTAAAAGGAGGTGATGGCCTAGTGGCATTATTGCTAGATTATTAGAGACCCAAGTTTGAATCCCACCATGGTAGATGGTGGAATTTGATTTAAATAAAACTGTAATTAAGAGTCTAATGACCATGAAAGCAGTGTCAATTATCATAAAAACCCAACTGGTTCATTAATGTCTTTTAGGGAAGGAAACTGCAATTCTTACCCGGTCTGGTTTACATGCAACTCCAGACCCACAGCAATGTGGTTGATTCTTGACTGCCTCCGAGCAATTAGGGATGGGCAATATATACTGGCCTAGCCAGTGAGATCCACATCCTGTTAATGGATTTTTAAAAATGCTGAATTAAACACCAAATTAAATGAGTAGCTTTCATGAGAGAATAAAAGATGTGACTTGCAAAAAATGTTGCAACCTCTTTATTGAAACATAAACTTGACTGCTGGCTTATATGGTGCAAGACTTAAACTTATATTCTTGTCTCAACAAGTAAATATGAATGGATGTGAAGTAGGCTGTATCAGGAAGCAGTTGTGGTTATAGGCATTATGGATACCGTGGGAGGCAAATCTTCAGACATGTTGTAATGGCCTGAAACTTTGGTGTACAGGGCACAACTTCAAAATTTGTGAATGACACCATTTGCATGAAGAGAATGGTAATATACTTCAGGATGACATAAGCTGGTGAGAATGATGGACATATAGCAGATTAGATTTCATACTGAAAATGTTACATTTTGGTAGGAGGAATTAAGAAAGACATTATTGGGCCAATTCTAAATGGGCTGCAGAAGCTGCGGAACTAGGGCAAAACAGGCACAAAATCATTGAAAGTGAGTGGAAAGGTTGAAAAAGCAATTTACCATGTGTATTCCTAGACTTTGTTGAAGCATGGAGTACAAAAGCAGAGTTACAATGAACCTTTATAAACCACTGATTCAACTTTAACTGAAGTATTATGTTGAATTCTGGGCACAGTATTCAAGGAACGATGTGGAGAAATTGAGGAGGTTGCACAAAAGAATCACAAGACTGCAACACCATAAGACATAGGAGCAGAAATTAAGCCATTCAATCATGGCTCAACCCCATTCTCCCGCTTTCTCCCCGTAATCTTTGATCCCCTTGATAATCAAGAACCTATCTATCTCAGTCTTAAATGTACACAATGACCCAGCCTCCACAGCCTTCTGTGGCAGTGAATTCCATAGATTCATCACTCTCTGGCTGAAGAGGTTTGTCCTTATCTCTGTTCTAAAAGGTCTTCCCTTTACTCTGAAGCTGTGCCCTCGGCTCCTAGACTCTCCTACCAATGGAAGCATCTTCCCAAAATCCACTCTGTCCAGGCCATTCAATATTCTGTAAGTTTCAATTAGATCCTCCCTCATTCTTCTAAACTCCAATGAGTATAGTCCCAGAGTGCTCAAACGTTCCTCATATGTTAAACTTTTCATTCCTGGGACCATTCTCGTGAACTTCCTCTGAACCCGCTCCAGGGCCAGTACATCCTTCCTGAGATATGGGGCCCAAAACTGCACACAATTCTCCAAACATGGCCTGACCAGAGCCTTATAAAGACTCAGTAGTACATCCCTGCTTTTATATTGAACTCCTCTCAAAATAAATGCCAACATTGCATTTGCCTTCCTGACTATTGACTCAACCTGCAAGTTTACCTTGAGAGAATCTTGGTCTAGAACTCCCAAGTCTCTTTGCACTTCAGACTTCTGAATTTTCTCCCCATTTAGAAAATAGTCCATGCTTTTATTCTTCTTACCAAAGTGCACAACAAGGATTGGCGTGAGATGACAGATGTCAGTAGTAATGATAGATTGCAAAATCTTGGGCTGTTCTCTTAAGTATGTTGAGAGAAGACTTAAGAGTTCAAAATTATGTCCTGTCTGGTAGTAGAAAATTTGAGAACTAGAGAACACCAATTTAGAGTGACTAAAAGAAGATCCAGCAGTGATGCAAGAAAAAAAATGTACTTAATGTGGGAAGTGGAAGTAACCAAGTTGTTATTTGAGAGATCCAGCATGGAACAAACAAAAACAGGGCGAGCAGCCTCCTTCTGTGCCACTGCTTGAAATTTATGAAAAACTTGTTCGTTAACTGTCAGTCATCATTAACTGGCATTATCTTCCTGGCAACACCTCTATTAAAGTCCACTTGCCAACCTATCAACATCCTCCTCCAATACAGTAAAAAGGTGTTTTCTTTTAAATTTCCACAAATTATCCTGATGTGTGCAAGATGAAAAGTTTCAACAAAATGTGCTTTTTCAGGAATATTTGGTAGTACAAAAAAAGTATGAATTTTTAAATTCATAAAAGTCATTCACAAAATTCAGGTTCTAAAGAAACTTGGGATATATAAAATAATGTATCATTGCATCAATATGATCTTGTGATTAATTTCAAAATAACCTGTACAATGTGCCAACATAATGGATTTCGACATGCAAAAGTCTCAATCAAGAATACTAAATTACTATACATTGGATATTAGCAACTCAGGCTGGTATTGGTGCACTTAATTGCTCACTAAATAAATTATTTCAACAAAAGAGGATTTTTTTTGCCTTTTGTCTTTTCCCTAGGGTGGGATTTCAAGACTAAGGATCACATTTTTAAGGTGAGAGGAGAAAGATTTAAAAAAGACATGTGTGGCAACTTGTTTTTTTAAAACAGAGGGAGGTCGTGGGTGGAACTTGCAGAGGAAGTGGCAGGGGCAGGTAGAGTTACAATGTTAAAAGACATTTAGATAAGTACATGAGTAAGAAATGTTTGGAAGGATATGGACCAAGTGCAGGCAGGTGGGAGTAGTTTAGTTTGGGATTATGGTCAGCATGGACTGGTTGGACTGAAGGGTCTCTTTCCGTGCTTTATGACTCTATGACTCTATCCAATTTTGAAGAGTGTATAGTTCAGAGTTTAGCATTCAGACATAAAAGAAGAAATCACTCAAAAGGTGTTCATATTAGATTTATTATTTCCAAAATGACTCAATATTTACACAATTAAATGATTTAATAGAAAACAAGGTGGTTTTCTCAATACAAATGCATAAGAACATAAAAATCAGGGCAAGAAAGGACCATTAGACTCCCAAGGATTATTTAAAGTGTTGATAACAACAATCTACAAGTAAACACATCACATGATGTCAAAATGTGATACTCAAATCATCAAATGAATTGCATCAATACCAACACCACCAGCTGCAGTCATAGTACTTCACTCTTGTTGTACTGATCAAGATGCTCTCTCTAGACACAATCCACAGTCAGACAGGCAAATACATTTTTATATGACTGGTTCTACATACAGTTTGAAAATTCCACATGCACTTTGCTGAAATCAGAGTAACAGATGAAAAACATTAATGGATAGTATTAATGGTATAATAATGTGGTCCACAGTCCAAGTCCAATATTTACAAACACACTGCATTCAACAATTGCACACCAACACATATGCAGATTGGCTATAATTACCTCATGTCATACTTGGCAAATATCTGCTTTTGAGAAACTGTTCCTCAAAATCATGGAAAGAAAAATAGCTGCTAAATCACATTAGAATTTATGTTTGAATCTCAGCTAATCCATAAATAAATGTAGAGAAGAAATATTCAATTGATATTCACAATATGCTAAAGTGCTTTAATCTCAGCAACATTGCTTCCCCTTTTATAGCCATACTTTAATATAGATGTTTAAATTAAAAATCTGTATACACTTCCTTTCTATATACCCTACCTCAAAATTTCATCCAAAGATTTTCCATTATAAATTTCTCTGTCCAGGTATATAATGAAAACTGCTGATATAAACTTGGCGTACTGTAATTACACCCTTCTCTGTCCTGGAATAGTGATGGAGAGCCTTGGTTTTGTGTCCCCAACTGCAGTTTGCAATGCTGATAAATATAGGTAAGCTCCACTCAATTAAACATTTATTTCCAAAATTTCCAATTTTGCTGTTTAACTGTGAATAATGACAATATAGGTAGGGCAAAATGGATGACTTTAAACTAAGGTCATATTCATAAAACTTGATAAACTCTTTTACCCTGGTCCATTTGTGGACTGCACAACACCATGACAGTGACTAACAAAATATTAAAAGGTACTTTGTACATGCACACTTCCTGTACCACACTTGCTTTTTCTAACAGTTTGCTGGACTGCCTGAAGTTTATTCATACACTAATTATTATCTTTGATTGTGGCCTTGGTTCTCCAAGATCATTGGTGCTATGCTCAATGCATGATGTCTACTTGACTTATTGTAGTTCCTTCTAGACCACCCCAATCACCATTGGACCACTTTTAGGGGAAGGAAAGGAAATACAGGTTTGAGGGAAGAGGGAGAAACAAGAGGTGGCGATGAATAAAATATGAGATAGGCAGGTAAGTGAAGAGAGGAGTTTGAGAGAACAATGGCAGAGAAGGAAAATGAATAGGTGGTGCTTTAATTTGTTTTGTATATGATTGTGCCTTTGGACTTTTTAAATGTATAGCAAAATAAAACAATGAACTGTGGATGTTGGAGATCTGAAACTAAAACAGAAATTGCTGGAGAAACTCAGCAGGTCCGGCAGCATCTTTGGAGAGAAAGCAGAGTTGATGTTTCAAGTCCACTGCCTCTTCATTAGAATGCTGCCAGACCTGCTGAGTTTCTCCAGAAATTTCTGTTTCAATGTAAAGTATATGTTTGTTTTGGAGACTTCAAAAATTCAGTGTTTAATGACTGTACGAACAGGTGATTCAATTTTTATGTGGTAATTTGCAGTTCACCTCTGACACATGCAGAGTCCTCAGCTAAATAAGATTGGATATCCTGGTTAATTAACCTGAGGGAAAGCTACATAATCACATTTGTAGTTACAAAGTCAATAAGTGTGCATGGTATGTTTGAATAGCTAATATTTGAATAAAATGTGCAGCTTAGAACATTGTAGGAGGCACAAGTGATCTCAACCGTCATTCACTTGAACTTAGAGATCAAGTAAAGGAAAATTACAATACAAAAACTAGGAAAGTTTGAACAGATGCTATTTCATAACTACGTTATAGTATATTCTTATCAATATAACTCTTTGCTGGTGATACTTTTATTTTCAGTAAATTTCTGTGTCCAATGTGATGGATATCATACCTGGGCAATGAACCTGGGAATTTTCCAGTTTTATATCCACTAACATCACAGCAAGTGCAGTGAAATTCCATCTTTGGTAAAAATAAAATTCCCTTACTCAGACAAACACCAAATTGTATAAATAATGTTACCCTATATCACCAAGCACCCACCCCCCTCCCCACCCTTGCACCCAGCAGAAGTGATTACATCAAAAGATCTTTTCAAAGCTACTGCTCGGTTGCTCCCCAAAGAGAATTGGTCCCAACAGGCACATCCTGAGATCAAAGAGGTACATTCCTGTTGCTAAGTGAATCTTCTACATTACATTCCTGAAGTGTCTTCGGATATTTTACTAGTAATATAGATGCTATATAAACACCAAGTGTTTTAGTTTGTCAGATATTTGTAAATGTACAGTTATTTCTCTTAAGTAATGAACGTTACCAAGGTCAAAAAACCTACAGAAAATTAGATATTTCCCCACTTTTACATACAAGAACATCATTCTGCTTAATAATTGTTACTGTCTAGAATTAGGGGCAAGTACAATGCATAGTGTGTGATGAAAATTGACACAGACAAGTGACAGAACCACACCAGCTGCAAAATCTATGCATAAAAATCGAAGTCCTGAGGCATTAATCAAGTTACTGATATCACATTTAAGAAAATTACTTTTGAAAGTAGCAGTAAATTTACACAGATCAATTGGCAGATTAAATTGATGAAGCAAGTTTGCAGGTTAGAACTTTAAATTGCACTTATCAATATGCAAACACCAATCAACACTAGCGATTAAACTCTATTTGTCCTCAGCATTGCACTTTTTTTTTTAGAAAGAACAGTAATAGATTGTAATTTCAACGTACAGGCCAGATCCACCTTAAAAAAAACTTGCGTCACATTATACAATACCCAGTATCCAAACTAACACAAATAACACAATGGCAGATTCACATATGTGAACGACTGAAATTTTTCTTGAACTTCCGCAGTTCAATATTCAGTCAGTACGGTTCTTTCATGATGCTCAGAATTCATCACCTCAACTACCAGTGGCATGCCTGTAACCATCAGCACTAACCCTAACTCTTGTTATGCACAATAAAAACTCAGGTCTGAGATAATAAACGATTGTACAACTGAGTGCTTTTTCAAAGCTCTCATAAGCATTTTATAAAAATGTTTGATGCTTGTTAAAATGTTTCACTGAATCCAAGCATCATCTATTTTGCCATTTAGTAACTGAAACTGGTTCCTGTTAAACTTGCTCTTTAAGCAAACCTTAAATGGTGTATAATCATGAATGTTTTCGGCAAAGTCGTTAGTTACTTCATTTTAGGCTTGACATTGAAGGCACATTTTTAGTTAGAAACAGTAAGAGATTTTACAAAACTAGAAGAGCATTCTAAACAACAGGAGTGTTTCCTTTTCAGATTTCATACTTCATATCCTGCAACGTCTCTATCGTAGAAGAGGCATTTAATCATTGTCAGAGTCTACAGGTGGCATGAAGATCAGTGCATCGTTAAATATATGCCCGTAAGGTCGTAGTCTGTAAACACCATACATCAGAACATGCATATGATTAGGTGACTGTCCATGAAAAGTGATGGCTACATCAGAGCAACATCCTTCCACAACTTCACTTGGGTGATTAGACATTGCCTCCACAACAAGGGTATTTATATTTTTTGAATTAAACAGTTCTTTTCCTTCATTATCTTCTGCATTATCAGCAACAATTCCTGTGTACTTCAGACATACTGCAAGTTCCTTTTCTTCAGACATCTTCCACAGCAAACTCCCCTTTTCTGGGCATTTCACAGGATCATCAAGAACCCGATGGAGTCTTTCTAATGCTTCTATACTTAGGACCACTCCTGAAGAAAATTCCACGTATTCCAAATCACCAGACTTAACTGAATGGCCAATATAGAAAGGCTGTTCTGGATCTTTATTCAGCAAAAAGAATTTAAGATTTTCAATAATTGCAAACGTAGTTGATTCTGCCAGGAAAAACCAGTTATACTCATCTTTGAAGTTCTCATATGCATGCTTGAAAGCTTTTCTGGTCTGGATCCATTTATCTTCCGTTGCAAGGCTGACTGATTCAAAGACTTTTATGGTTTCCGGGCTGTAAAAGACAGCTTTATCACAATGTTTGCTCCATGTTTGTACCACAGAGGCCCAGTAGCCAATTTCTTTGGGTGTAACCATGATCAAACAAAGAACACGGATAGTGAGACTGAGTTCCATACGCTTCGCTTCGGGCAGCTTGAGCAGTTCTTCCTTTGAGGGAGCTTTGAGGCTGTGTTGTTCGTGTCTTTGCAATTCTCCACCTAGCTTCGTGTTACTAAAAAGGGTGAAGACCAAACAAAATATTCCACCCAACATCATGCCCTTCATGAATGAACTGCCTTCTTTTATCATCTTTGCCTTTAATTATGAAGGAAAAACATAAAGTCACTAAAAAAAATTTGTCAACATATATTTTTAAGTTGCAGCTAAATGTAAAGAAACCTTTGGTTTAAAGAGCCAGGCGGAAGTGAAAAGCCAGCCCCAGACTCCGAGAGAGAACGAGTCCCGAGAATGATACAACAAGGTGCAGGGCTGGATGAACACAGCAGGCCAAGCAGCATCATAGGAGCAGAGAGGCTGATGTTTCGGGCCTAGACCCTTCATCAGAAAAGGGGGAGGGGAAGGGGGTTTTGAAATAAATAGGGAGAGAGTAGGAGGCGGATAGAAGAGGGATAGAGGAGAGGATAGGTGGAGAGGAAACAAACAGGTCGAAGAGGCGGGGATGGAGCCAGTAAAGGTGAGTGTAAGTAGGGAGTTAGGAAGGGGACAGGTCAGTCCAGGGAGGACGGACAGGTCAAGGGGGCGGGATGAGGTTGGTCGGTAGGAGATGGCGGTGCGGCTTGAGGTGGGAGGAGGGGATAGGTGGGAGGAAGAACAGGTTAGGGAGGCAGGGATGAGCTGGACTGGTTTTGGGATGCGGTAGGGGGAGGGGAGATTTTGAAACTTGTGAAATCCACATTGATACCATTGGGCTGCAGGGTTCCCAAGCGGAATATGAGTTGCTGTTCCTGCAACCTTCGGGTGGCATCGTTGTGGCACTGCAGGAGGCCCAGGACGGACATGTCGTCTGAGGAATGGGAGGGGGAGTTGAAATGGTTCACGACTGGGAGGTGCAGTTGTTTATTGCGAACCGAGCGTAGGTGTTCTGCAAAGCGGTCCCCGAGTCTCTGCTTGGTTTCCCCGATGTAGAGGAAGCCACACCGGGTGCAGCGGATGCAGTGTACCACATTGGCAGATGTGCAGGTGAACATCTGCTTGATGTGGAAAGTCTTCTTGGGGCCTGGGATGGGGGTGAGGGAGGAGGTATGGGGGCAGGTGTAGCACTTCCTGCGGTTGCAGGGAAAAGTGCCGGGTATGGTGGAGCTGGAGGGGAGTGTGGAGCGGACAAGGGAGTCACGGAGAGAGTTGTCCCTCCGGAAAGCAGATAAGGGTGGGGAGGGAAAGATGTCTTTGGTGGTGGGAT